AGTTAATGACCAACTGAAGAGTGATGTCGGCTGGATGTGGGGACCACACCAGCAATCAGCCTTCCGCAGGTTGAAGACGCTCCTGACATCAGCCCCTGCCCTTGCATTTTATGATGCCGCTAAGCCGACGATTGTCAGTGCTGATGCCAGTGAATACGGCCTTGGCGGTTGTATTCTACAGCAACAAGATGACTCGGAGTGGAAACCGGTGGACGTGTTGCTCAAGAAGTCTTACCAAAGCAGAACGCCAGTACGCCCAGATAGAAAAAGAGCTGTTGGGGTCGGTGTGGACATGTGAAAGGTTCTACGTCTACCTGAGAGGCCTCCATGTCACAATTCAGACTGACCATAAGCCGCTTGTGCCACTCATCAACAACAAAGACCTGTGTGATACACCACTGAGGTGTCAACAACTCCTCGTGCGCCTCATGAAGTACAACTGCACCGCTGTGTATGTACCTGGCAAACACCTTGTAGTGGCCGATACCCTGTCTCGTGTCCCACTGACTTCACCGGTCACTGAATGTGACAACCTTTCCGATGAAGTAGAAGCACACGTCTATATGGTGACAAACCATTGGCCAGTTTCCCAGGGAAAGTTGGAGGAGATCACACGAGAAACTGCCCTTAATCCTGCGCTCAAGCAAGTTACACCACATGTAACTAGTTGTTGGCCAAAGTACTCCAAGGACGTGGAGTCATCAACAATGAGGCTGTACTGGGAGAAACAGGAAAACTTAAGTCTCTTCAAGGGGCTTCTCACCTACCGAGACCGTATTGTCATCCCAGCAAAGATGCAACAAGAGATGCTCTCCAGAATCCATGAAGGTCACCAGGGAATTTCCAAGTGCAGTGCACGAGCTGCCCAATCTGTTTGGTGGCCAGGTATTGGGACCGATATTGCCCAATACGTAGAGAGATGTTCCTACTGTCAGTCCAGGCAGTCAGCACAACGTGCAGATCCCTTGATCTCCACCCCACTTCCAGACAGACGATAGCAACGACTCGCTTGTGACCTAGCAGAAGTCAATGGTAGACACTACCTAGTGCTGGTGGACTACTAATCCAGATGGATAGAGGTACACCATCTTCACAAGCTCACATTATCGGCAGTTATCAATTTTTTTTTAAGCTGCTCTGCCAGATTTGGGGGGCCTGAGGTCATAATCACAGATAATGGCCTCCAATTCCTCGCCGAGTTTGACTCTTTGCCAGAGAATACGACATTCAGCACCATACTTCCAGCCCTAACTACCCCCAGTCAAATGGTATGTTGGAGAAAGCAGTGCACATCGCTAAAAAGATGCTCCTGCAACCTGATCCACTCCAAGCACTGCTTACTTAAAGAACCACACCAGTTCCGCCTACTCATGGGACGAAAGCTACGTACCACACTGCAAACACTTCCTCAAAATCTTCAACCCAAGATCGTCAATTCACACCAGTTAAAGGCTACTGACAAGTATCGGAAGGCCAAGAGTGAGTCGTACTTCAACCAGAAGCACAGTGCCAGACAGCTGTGTGAGCTGAACCCAGGTGATCCAGTGCGTATCCGTAACAAATCACACTTGAGTCCGGTGGGAGAGGTGGTACAAAAGGCAAGTCTTCCTCGCTCATACATCGTGAACATCCAGGGTGTGGAGTATCGACGTAACCGTCTCCACTTTCTGCTTATTCCAGACCCGGAGCCAGTCCTCCAGGATCAAACACCACCAGACCACATCAACCAACAGCATCCCAGACCAGCAATGGACAGACCTCATCGCACAACGAAAACTCCACAGTGGCACCAGGACTATGAGATGTACTAAACTCGGAACTGTATCACTAAACTCAAAACATCCGACTTGAACTTTGAGGAACTTTTATTTAAATTCATCACAAATCTGGAATTCGACTGACTTTATGTTTCAACAATTTCATTCAGTTTTAGAACACAACAAACCTTCATTTTGGATTTAACAGTATAGGACTCGGAGAAGTGATACTTGCTTTTTGTTCCATTCTAACATTTCAACAGCCTAGGGCATTGAGTAAGACACCAAGTTTTGGAGAATCAATTAGTCTTTAACA